AGTGGTATCTGAGCATAAAATGGTTACTGGGACCAATAGTGCAGAATGCAATCAGTTAGTTTTATATTCAGATTGATACCAGGTACCAGCATAATAATAATAAATAAAAGGTGCTCCTTCATATACAGGAATAACAAGCAAATGTATGGTTGTCTCAATCTTTTGTTAAAAATGAATTCCTTTGCTGTGAGCTTTTGTTCTCTATTGAACTACGTCAATTATATCTCAGTACATATATACTGCTATACACATTTAGCAAAAGTAGTCTTGGTAGCACAGCTCCAATAAAATTGACAAAGCGTACATTGAATAAAGATACCACTAAAACAATGGCTTGTTTGTTTTACAAGAAATCAACAATTGTCAAGCTTACATTACCCATGATGCATTGGAAGGGGGATGGCCCTGTTTCTATTGTTTAATATCATAATATTTGACTCCTCCTTACTTCATTCACGAGCCTAACAATGTATTTCATGACTTCCTTATACATGTAATATCTATAGCTATTCTTACCACCTTTTTAACCTCCACAACTCAACGAACTTCGACGTCGTTTGTCCTCCGTCATGTCAGAAAGGAACATGTTCATATGTTTACCCTAAAACGTCAAGTAAATCAACATATTTAATGTCTAAAAAGGTCTTTTGACAAAAGGATAAGAGCAACGTCGAAATATAAGTAGTTTTAAACGATTTTACCTTCAAAATATGTAATTTAATCAATCCACGTGCAATAACAWCTTCACAGTCCGCCATAACACTAGGCCCGCAAAGCATCATTAGCCATTCCACAGGAAACCCATAAAAACGGGGGAATTTCTGGCATATTCAAAGGACCTTACGGCGGATGAATTTAGGTAGGGGAGGTTTGGGGTGGGGGAGATTGTAAGTAATTTGTCATGAAAGAGTTGCGCAAGAATTTGAGGTAATCATTCCTACTTCCTGCCATACTAATACATTTGCCAGATGAAAGAATTCATATTGATTGGAATGCAGATTTAATAATTCGATRATTCAATAATTTAGAAATGCAAAAAGACAGTTGTAAAGAAGGAGAGGCAGGAACATCTAGCTATCTAACTTTTAATTTAAAACTTACCTTAGTAAACCATTGACCAGTAATATAAAAAAAGAGGTGGTTGAAAAATATAGTATTTAGAAAAAAAGATTTTAAAGAAGTAAGGTGAGGCACTAAGCAGTACTGTCTGACCCAAAATCGTTCAAAATCTCCAAAAATCACGCCAACGCTCAAAAACGATTTAAATTTTGAGTGGTACTTATATATTTGAGTGTAAGTTAACTTCCAAAAAAGGATAATGTCAACAACAGCCATCTTACCGTAATTAAGGTGTTTTGAGATMAGTCGATATGTTTTTTTTCCATACTGCGCGCCAATTGGCTTGATTTTTTCAATGATTCCRTTTTTAACTACCTAATAAATTTATAAGATCCTTTTAGACATCTATCAGATCCAGACTGTAATAGTGTAATGCCGYTATTCGATTATTTAATCCAGATATAAAGTGGTGTTTTGAGATCGGTAGATGCTTTTGGTCATCCGTATTGATATTGACCACATGAAAAACGAACAGAAGACTGGGGAATGAGCACCCTAAACGGTCCATGWTTTTAAAAACCTTTTTCACCATGAGAAAGRGTATATCTAATCTAGTAAACTGGCGGATTTTTAGTTTCAAATGTACAAGCATTTGAAATGTACCAAAAACGTGAAAACGAGGCTGGTAAGG